GACCTGACCTGACCTTCAGGTGACCTTGACACCCACCCTAATGCATGGGGGCAACATCATATCACATGTTTGAACGCTTGAAACCACGAAAAGACTGCAAACGCGCGGCTAATGCGAGCCGACATACGCCGAATCGCGATTCCAGCCAAACATGGTCTCGAAAAGTAGGTCACAGGTCAAAGGTCATTTGGGTCAGGGTCATGAAATTTTCAGGGTAGGTGTGAAATTGATAAACGCGAGGGTACTGAAAGTTTCGTCGCGATCGGCCGCTTTTTACGCGAGTTATTCGCGAAAAACCATGGGGGGGGTCCGTTCGACCCCCCCCCCCCTATACGGGCGAGGGTTAAGGTCAATGGCGATTCGATAACGTTACAAAAATGCAGTCCCTTACACACCACGGTCGAACATAGGTTTTGAAAGTCAACTCCACTCTCCTCAATGAACATTGAAGACTTGCAGAGTCAGTTGAATATAATGACACATTTCGTCAGAATGTCTCCGCTTAGAGGCGCAGTAGTCACGGTCCACCCGTCCCGACAGAATACGCCTGCCCACATCCGTTCCAGAACCGCCCTCAGACAATGCAGCTCAAACTGCGGCTCAAACTGCGGCTCAAACTCTGAGCCTCTGTGTCTCTGAGTTGGCGCGTGACGGACGGACGAACAACTTGGGTCAACAGGCGTCGAGAGTTCCAGAGGACCACCGCTAAGTTGCAGAAAACCAACAGCTACTCTTTTCTAACCGAAAGTTTTTGTTGTAAAAGGAAGCATCGAGGAACTGTTATCGTAGATCACCAGCAAATACGCAGTTGACAAGCAGGTTGCCCTGATGGATTCCGGGCGAATTCTGATGCATCAGGAAGCATTTAATCAATATTTTCTTCGCGTTGATGGACAGGTTCTGCACTTATACACTTGCAACGCGTCACAAAAGTCGAATCGCTAAAAGCTGCAATTGTGTGTTGGCAGACTAGCATTCAGCTAAATCGCGCGTCCGCGCGTTGAAGGTTTCTTAACTGCCAACTTAACTTAACTGCTCTTTTCTCCTGTAAGCGAGGCTCTAATACAACCTTCTGGCCTCTAACCATGATATATGGATGTTTGAAGTGTCGTATCTTGTGGTAATAAAATCATCGGAAGGCCTCGATTGTTTTGCCTCCTTTCAATTCATTTGGACTTGGGTGGCAAGTTTCCTTTTGCTCGAGCGCTTCCTTTTTGGGCTAAACCAATTACGTGTCTCTAACCAATGTGTTTACCACGCCTTCCATTCGCCACTGTATAGCAGCGCTGGTTCGATTGTAGTCAAACTAACAGCCTGTTTAAAATGCCACTGGCGGAACTCGTTCCAAACAGAACAATGACAGAAACTAAGAGCTGAGCCAAACATGCGTTTTTTTTTTAGTAGAGTGCCATCAGTATACCATTCTGATCTCACTGTCGTTTCTGTCCTTTGTTGTCAAATAAAAAGCAGGTAAAAAGGTCCAATTATTCAAATTCAGATATCGTAAGTTTCTTCATCCTATGCCATTTCCTGTTAAATGGCCTTTTATCGAATTGGGCTTGTTTCCCATAGATACTTTTTCCCCTACGGACTACGACTCATTTAGGTAAAAGTAGGTATCTATGTCTTTTTTTATTTCTATCATACCTGTTGGCGCAGCGTATCCGGCGCCGATACTTCGGCTGACTGATCCTCGGAAGTGGAAGAACCAGCGGTTTACAACGAACGAGTTTGTTTGTGTATTGTGGAACCAGCCGGCTCAGCTTTGGCTCAGCTGACCGTGTCATTCCGCAAAATGTCTTTGTTTGCTTAGTTAGTTTAGTTATGTGTTATTTTGAAAGATTTTGTCAACGGCTAAATTAAATAATTATAGTGGACAGGGCAGAACCTCGGTGAGTAATTTCATATACTTGCCTATCTACTACTGTTACGTTCCATATCCTCGGCGTTACGTTCCATATCCTCAGTAATTGTCAGTATTTGTGTCAGAATTTGTTATGACGAATGCTTGTTTACTTTTGTGTTTTGCTTTGTTTCAGAAACCACTTTTACACTCTCACTCGATCATGTTCAGTTCAAATATATCGTCAAGTTCATTTCAAATAAATCACAAGTGATGAGTCGGTGCGTTTAGAGATCTGACCGTCTAAGAATTGGAAGAACAGAAAGGTAGCCGGCGACAACAGTTTCGAGGGTTCACCTACATTGAGGTATGGACAAAATGGAGACATTATACAAACTCACTGTTCATGAGCTAAAAAATGAGCTGTCAAGAAGGGGCAGAGCCTGCAAGGGTATTAAGAAAGACGTTTTAGTGAGTCGCTTGAAAGATGTTTTGGAATCGGGAGGCACTACCGTGGCTGATTTTCTCACTGAGTTCAATGCATCAAAGGCTGCTGATCTTGCTGAATTTACCCGTGGCCTCACCAGTAGATCTAGAGATAATTTAGGATTTAATACTGTAGCTCCAGAGAAAGACTGTGCTCCTGATAAGCCCTGCAAGGATGCTGGTATAAATGTCAATGACAGTCAGGAGGCTGCTGAGGCTCAGGGGTTTGACACGAGAGATGACAACCACAAACGAGCTGCGTCTGAGGTAGCCAGCTCTATTGTGTCAATCGGGTCTACCTCATCGAGGCACTCCTCTTGTTCGCGCGCTTCTGTGTCGTCACTGAGGGCAAGGGAGCAGGCGAGGAAGGCAGGTCTCCGGGCAAGGATCGACATGCTGAAGGAGAAGCAGAAGTTGGAGGAGCAAGCAGTGGCGCAAGCAGTGGCAATGAAAATGAAGAAGGAAGAATTTAAGCTACGCATGGAAATCGCAGAGGCTGAAGCAAGGGAGCAGGTCTTTGCCGAAGAAGAAACGTCGGTCGATGCAAGAACAAGTCAACCACATCTGGTAAGGTCTGCATCACTCATAAGCCATGCAGCATATGACAACGAACTTGAAGAGAGTACAGCCATAGTGGCATGCAAGGAAGAAGCTAGAAGGTGGGATGTAGAAGAAGAAGAAGAGGCCAGAGAAAACAATTCTCCCAAGAATGATGACAGGGAAGGAGACACGCTGAAGGAAGCTGGAGAAGAAAGAAGCATGGATCAACGACAGGTGAGCAGTGAGACGTACCAACATGTCGACACCACACAGGCACTCCTGACCCACCTCCAGAGAGGACAGTTACCGAATGTCGAAATTCCAGTGTTTAGCGGAGAGATAACAAAATACCGATCCTTCATCCGGGCCTTTGAAAGTCGCATTTTGTCGAAAACCGAAGATGACGAGGAGAAGCTGTTTTTCCTTGACCAGTACACCCGAGGAAAACCACGAGACGTTATAAGAGGCTGTTTGCACATGTCACCTGGTGCAGGATATCGGGAAGCTAGACGGCTGCTAGAGCAGAGGTATGGAGACGACGACTCTATCACGAATGCATTCGTCGACATGCTCATGGAGTGGCCCCTGGTGAAGCCTGGGGACGTAGAGAGCTTGGATAGATTCGCATTGACGCTCAGGTCCTGCCATAACGCAATGGGTGGAATCACATCAGAAGGAAGGGAAACCGACCACCCGAAGACGATGCGGAGAATACTTGGGAAACTTCCGTATCAGCTGCAAGACCAGTGGCGCCGTTTGGCTGACAGGATTCAAGAGGAAGAGAGGAGAAGGGCTAGGTTTGAAGACATCGTCAACTTCGTGGAAAAGGAAGTAAGAATACAAACCAATCCAATGTTTGGACGTCAACACAACAGCAAGAGCGGTGAGCTTGACGGTTCACGGAAGAACGTTCAAACTGTGTCGGCGACAGTCGTCGGAGCAGATTCTGGACGTCATCAGACCTCGCGAGTGTGCTTGTTCTGCTCCAGAGACCATTGGCTAGACCAGTGTGATGACCTTAGAACTTTGGCGCCTCATGAGAAGAACAAATTCATCAGAGAGAAGGGTCTTTGTTATGGGTGCTTGGGCAAGGGCCACCTGGTTAAGGAATGCGCAAAAAGAAGAACATGCACGATCTGCAAGATGCGGCATCCTACAGTGATGCACAACAGATCACCGTCATTGCCTGGTGCAAGCAATGATAATGACAACCACGAGGGAAACATCAGTCGGGACAACTCCAGTGCCAGCCAGTTGGTAACAAACGGCAGGGTAAAGCTAGACAGCGCTTTAAGGGCTAGCGCTGAGTCAACATCCACCATGATGGCAGTACTACCGGTAAAACTGCTCTGTTCGGATCACAGCAGTTCTGTGGAGACTTACGCATTTTTTGACAATGGAAGTTCGGCAACCTTCTGTTCGGAGTCTCTATTGAAGCAACTGAAAGCCGAGAGTAAAGAGATCAGGCTGTCGATGACTACTGCGTCCGTCGATAATCAGCAGCTGAACAGCCGTGTGGTCAGGGGCCTTGCGATTTCGGACATGAATGGCGATATCTGCATTCAGCTGCCTCCGACATACACCCTCAAATCCATTCCCGTGAAGTCAGGAGACATGGCATCGAACGACGAGCTGAAGCAGTGGACTTACCTGCAGGACATCCAGCTGACAAGAATCGACGCTGAGGTTGGCCTGTTGATTGGTAGCAACTGTCCTGAAGTGCTCCAGCCCCTGGAGGTGAGGCGTAGTGAAAATGGTGGACCATTTGCTGTTCGTACTGCGCTTGGATGGGTCATCCAGGGTCCAAGGCGAGGCTACCAAGCGGAGGCCGAGGGAGTGAAAGTAAACCGCATTCAAGCCGCTAGGGAAAATTCAGATCTGCATCGTAGCTTCATCGATCTTTACAATCAGGACTTTAGAGATCATGGCAGCTCTGTAGAGGTGGGTCTGTCCAGGGAAGACCAGTTGTGGCTGAAAGAGGTGGAGAATGGAGTGCGGCACGTGAACGGACGCTATGAAATTCCACTTCCACTTCGGAATGCAGGTGCCTTTCCCAGCAATAAACAACAAGCGGAGCGTCGTGCAGAGGGTCTGAGGAAGCGGATGCTCCAGAGCGAGAAATATCTGACTGACTACAAGAAGTTCGTGAATGAGCTGGTTGAAAGGGATTATGCAGAGAAGGTGTCTAAAGAAAATAGGGGTGCGCACTTGGGAAGAACGTGGTACATGCCGCACCATGGCGTCTATCATCCCATGAAGCCGCAGAAGATTAGAGTTGTATATGACTGTTCTGCGAGCTATAAGGGCGTGTCGCTGAACGACAGGCTTCTGCAAGGACCCAATTTGACAAGTTCGTTAGTTGGAGTACTCTTAAGATTTCGCCAAGAACCGTTTGCCCTCATGGGAGACGTGGAGAAGATGTTTTACCAAGTCCGTGTACCTGTCCAGGACAGGAGTCTGCTTCGATTCCTTTGGTGGGCTGAAGGGGATTTGTCTCAACAGCTGGAGGAATACCAGATGAACGTCCATCTGTTTGGAGCAGCTTCATCACCATCATGCGCAAACTTCGCACTACGAAGAACAGCCCAGGACTTTGGTGATCTGTATCGACCTGATGTGGCAAGGTGCATAGAGAGGAATTTCTATGTAGATGATTTTCTGAAATCTGCCGCAACTGAAGACGAAGCAGCTGACATCGCGCTACAGGTTCGTGATTGTTGTGCCAGAGGAGGCTTCAATTTGACTGGGTTTGTAAGCAACAGTGAGAAGGTCATGTCGCGTCTCCCGCAGGCAGATTGTGCACTGACTCGCACAATGAGCCTCTCTTGTGGTACGCCATCTTCACAGAGGGCACTCGGAGTGCAATGGGACATCATCAATGACACCATGAGTTTTCGTGTCGAGGTTGATCCAGGACCACCTACGAGAAGAGGAATCTTGTCTACCGTCAGCGCCGCCTATGATCCTTTGGGATTAGGTGCTCCATTCATTTTGCCAGCGAAGTTCATCCTCCAGGACCTGTGTCGTCTTAACTTGGGATGGGATGACAATATCCCTGAAGAGCATGCTGAGAGATGGACGCAATGGTGCAACGACCTGAAGGAGCTGAAACAGTTCAGTGTGAGCAGGAGTCTGTCACCTGCTGACTGCAAGGCGGTGAGTCGTCAGTTGCACCACTTTGCGGACGCCAGTGAGAGAGGATACGGCACTGTCAGTTACATCAGACTGGTGGACGAAGAGGGGAAGATTCGCACGTATTTGCTGATGAGCAAAGCAAGAGTGGCACCGTTAAAAGTATGCACTATCCCTCGGCTCGAACTCTCCGCAGCTGCCCTAGCCGTTCAGATGAACACCCTGTTGCTATCGGAACTCGAAGTACCGATGGACGCCGTCTTCTTCTGGACAGATAGCATCTCAACCCTCAGATATATACAGAATAAGACCTCGAGGTTTCAAACCTTCGTGGCGAACCGCCTCTCGATCATACATGCTGGCTCGAATCCCGATCAGTGGAAGTACGTGCCGTCATCTCTCAATCCTGCTGACGACGTGTCACGTGGTCTCACGGCGCGACAGTTCCTCGACTCCAAACGTTGGACTGATGGCCCTGAGTTCCTCAGCGGGCAGATACACGTCTGGCCTGATCAAACCAGCGCACTGCAATCAGTAGAAGGCGAAGAACCCGAAGAGATCAAGAAAGTGACGGTGAATGCTGCTCGTGTAGATGAAGACGATCCTACCTCACAGCTTCTGAACAGATTTTCAGATTGGCACAGGCTAAAAAAGGCAGTTGGATGGCTGCTTCGAATCAGAGCTACGCTTCTCATCCGAGCGAAAACGAGAAAGAAGTTAAATGATGGCACGGAAGACGTGCAGAGCAAAAACGTTTCTGCGCGCCTCACTGTGCGCGACCTTCAGGACGCAGAATCTGCAATCATCAGATTCGTACAGCGACGGGTCTTCCCTGAGGAGTTGACCAGAACTCATGTGAAGAAAGGCAGCCCTCTGTATCGCCTTAGTCCACTCGTAGTCGATGGGACTCTGACCGTCGGAGGTCGTCTGAAGAACAGTGGGCTTTCAGATCTGGTGAAACATCCAAAGATTCTTCCCAAGCAAGGCCACGTCACAGACCTGATCATCCGTGACATGCACGAAAGAACTGGTCATCAGGGACGGGAACATGTTCTGGCGGCCTTGCGCTGCGAGTATTGGATTGTGAGCGGGAACACAGCTGTCCGCAGAGTTCTGTCCCAGTGTGTTGGGTGCCGGAAACGACAGGCTGGCGTCGTCACCCAGGTGATGTCTGATCTACCAGAGGAACGTGTAACCCCAAACGAACCTCCTTTTACGCGTGTTGGTACTGACTACTTCGGGCCATTTTTCACAAGAAGCGGCAGGAAGCAGATGAAGAGATACGGCGTGCTGTTCACTTGTCTCACAACCCGCGCTGTGCATATCGAGATTGCTGACAGCCTGGACATCAGCTCCTTCATCAGTGCACTGCGTCGCTTCCAGGCAAGACGAGGTCAAGTCAGGCATATCCGCTCTGACAACGGAACTAACTTCATCGGCTCCGATCGAGAACTGCAAGAAGCGGTAAAGAACCTGAACAGAGACCAGGTTCACGAATTTTTGTTGAAAAGAGGCATCAAATGGGTATTCAACGCGCCAGGCGCTTCGCATCATGGGGGTGTGTGGGAGCGGCTTATCAGAACTTTCAGAAAGATATTAGGCGCGCTTCTCAAAGAGCAGACCCTGACTGATGAGTCACTCCGTACGCTGACGTGTGAAGTCGAGGCTGTGATGAACAGTCGACCCTTGACACCAGTTTCCAGCGATCCAGCAGATCCGGAACCACTGACGCCGAACCATCTGCTGCTGCTCCAAGGATGTGCTGAACCCTGTGGCGTGTTTGATGAGCAGGACACGTACTCCAGACGACGGTGGCGCCAGGTGCAGTACCTGGCAGACGTTTTCTGGAGACGCTGGATGGCAGAATATCTGCCTCAGCTGCAGAAAAGACAAAAGTGGATGAAGGTCAAGAGGAATCTGTCTGTCGGCGACCTGGTCTTGATCGTCGATCTGAATCTACCCCGACCACAGTGGCCTCTGGGTCGGGTGACTGAAGTGTTCCCAGATGCACAGGGTCAAGTCAGGACTGTGACAGCTAAGACCGCCAGATCTGTATTCAAGCGGCCCATCTCCAAACTGGTACTGGTGCAGGAAGCGATTGTGTGAGCGCCGGACGTCCTTACCTGCCCTTGTTGTTGAACCTGTGTTGGTTCAAGGGGGAGGGTGTTGGCGCAGCGTATCCGGCGCCGATACTTCGGCTGACTGATCCTCGGAAGTGGAAGAACCAGCGGTTTACAACGAACGAGTTTGTTTGTGTATTGTGGAACCAGCCGGCTCAGCTTTGGCTCAGCTGACCGTGTCATTCCGCAAAATGTCTTTGTTTGCTTAGTTAGTTTAGTTATGTGTTATTTTGAAAGATTTTGTCAACGGCTAAATTAAATAATTATAGTGGACAGGGCAGAACCTCGGTGAGTAATTTCATATACTTGCCTATCTACTACTGTTACGTTCCATATCCTCGGCGTTACGTTCCATATCCTCAGTAATTGTCAGTATTTGTGTCAGAATTTGTTATGACGAATGCTTGTTTACTTTTGTGTTTTGCTTTGTTTCAGAAACCACTTTTACACTCTCACTCGATCATGTTCAGTTCAAATATATCGTCAAGTTCATTTCAAATAAATCACAAGTGATGAGTCGGTGCGTTTAGAGATCTGACCGTCTAAGAATTGGAAGAACAGAAAGGTAGCCGGCGACAACAATACCTTTTAAACTAATAAGCTGAGTATGTTACAAGTATTACCGATCTGACAATTCTTTCAGTTGTTTATGTCAAGCTTCGACCCTATATCTTTTTCTTCCGATTCTTTCTTTCTCGCCAATCCGTAAATGGGGCCCACGGGAGGCATTTCCATTCGGAGTCCACCCATCGCACCCATTCCACTTTCGCGCTGTATTTATAGTTACCGTTTCCCATTATCAAACAAAACGTTCCGCGTCCTTTGAATTTCGGCGGGCGCGTGCTGTGATTGTTTCTCGCATCCGTTCAGTAATTAATTCAGACGATCCTCGTGCGCCAGGCTAAATTCAGAGCCCTTCCGTTTAAACGGATACAGCGTAGTGGCGCCAACACGCGGGATTATCTCGGCATTTCTGGTTTCGACGGAGTGGAAGCCGGTCTCTGCTAGCGGGGGTGTTGCTGTGTGTTTGTGAAATGCAATCTGTTTGATGTACTGGCGACTATGTTGTGGTGGGACCAAATCAGAGCATGAATTAGCGACGGGGTTGAATAAAACGGTAGCAAGTCGGCGAGCAGCATATTACTGAAATAAGAACTTAGTTACCGATAAAATTCGTATGCAAAGAGTCGTTATGGTGGTTCACCACAAATAAATCGTGAACTTTTTTCGCTACCACTCCAGGTTTTTTTGTTTCCTACAAAACGAGATTTCTGAAGACTGAGAGTGTAAGATAAGTATACACAGCTTTGAGGTTGTACTGGCTTGTAAAATCATTTCAATTTCATTGTAACTTGAAGTCACATGTTTCAAACATTGATTTTGTTTTGAAAATGTCGTTGAATCAAAATGCCAAACCAAAATATGCTGCATGCTCTCACTGCAACCTGAATGAAACCGGACACAGGGGGAGGGCAAAATCCGCAGGCTCGTGGAAGTCCTGAAAACTCTCCTATAATAGCTGTGCTCCGAGTTGCCGGTTGATGTGTTTATCTCCCAGTCCACCTGAAGTAAACGATCTTTCCCTCGCTTCTCGACGCTAAAAATTCAGGCGTGCTCGACCATATCAACTTCCCAATGTCAGGGCCACCTAACGGTATCGTATATTTCGGAGACTGACGACACCTAAGGCCGAGCGTCGACCATCGCGGTCTCTTCAATATGGAGGCTCCCGTGCCGCTCGGTAGGCCGAGGCACTGCTTCGGGTCTCTTCAGCATGGAATATAAATTCTCCCTCTTGCTTCTAAGTCTCCGTCCCTGTCGCTATCTATTCAGTATTGGGTCGCGATCCTGCGACTTCACGTGGTAGCTATAAAATCCGTTCTGCCCTGAGGCAGTCGCAGCGTAGCCAATCAGAGAAGAGGATCACTCCATGGCCCGAGCGACCGACCAGTAAGGTGTCATGGCCCACGGACCCACCTGTGACGTAGATATGGATCGGCCAATCAGAGAACACCAGGAAAGGCATGAACACCAATCGTCTTCCTAGCTTTTAACCCGGCAGTTGCTGGGGTATTTCGCCACCCACCGTTTGCTGGGGGGGGGGGGGGCGTTAAACGCCCCCAGCCGATAACTCGAGAACCAATAGGCGCAGCGAAACGCACGAGGCGGCAAACGAAAGAACGCGACGAGACGCTTTAGATGAGTACTTTAAAGTTAAATTTTGAGGTCACAGGTCGGGTCAAGGTCAGGTCAAACACCTGAAATCGGGCTTTCAGTAGCATGGACTTCAGGACTTCGCAATGGGCGCCTCTCGTCATAAACTCTGTCAAAACGGTGCACAATCCATCATATAAGGCCTACAAGAGTGTCAGCTCCATGTAGGGGTCAGTCAAGCATAGGTCAGGGTCAAGGTCAGGTCAACCCGGTAGGCACATATCCTCGAAAATCAAAACTGATATTCGCAGCCTGTGACACATGTTTTATGGGTAATTTGGGGCGTAGAACACGATGGTGACATTCATATTATCATATGTGTACGTGTTTGGCTAAAAAAGTTCAATTTAAGAAATGCATGTATCATGGTCGTGAAGTAGTCACGAGAAATTGCCAAGATTCAGTTCAAGATTTTGGAAAATGCGGAACGATAATCAATAATCGAAGATATCCATTTGATTGTTCATGGTATTGGCAGTCTAATGGCGTTTAAGGCATGTCTGTATGTCTATTTTGTGATTTTATATGATTTTTTGAACATATGCCGTTTTTGGTCGAAAAGTCAGAAATCATGACGTCACTAAAACCTCGATATCTCAAAAATTTTCCGACCGATTTTTTTGAAACTTTGTCACAATAAACTTCAATCAATTCCCTACAGGTACCCAAAATTTGAGGCGCGCCGTTTTTATGCTATGGCCCGGCGAAAAAAGTGGGGGCGTTTAACCCCCCCCCCCCCCCCCCAGCAACTCGCGGGTTAAAGCAGATGCCTCCATTTCGTGAGAAAATAAATGCCTCAGGGTCGAGTGATTGGGCTGGGCTGTCACTCTCGAACAAATTGCTGTGTCATAAAATCATTTTAGGCATCAGGCTGCAGTGGCTACCAAGGTGGTCGACGTCATTGAATGAAACACAAGGGATCCGGTGAAACACGCACCTAAACATGTAGGTACACGTGCCATTTTTGGGTGACAATGGATGGTCAAATTTTCATTTTCTGCGACTTCTTGAATCGTCCAATACCAAACTATTAGCACAAAAAAGCAAGAAGCTCGGCGTCGTGTTCACAAAATATAAGTCTAAATGTGCCTCTTTTTGACCCTACCCTCACCGAATTTATCGATTGTCTTCATGCCGAGGCTGAGGGGGAGAGTTGTTGGACCACTACCCGTTTTACCCCGAACCTCTTCAGAAGAAGCATGCAACGTTAAAAACGCAGCGAGTGTAGGTATCTGATTATCAGATGTCACTTCAACCGGTGCCGTCTGAGGTCCGGTCAAACGCCCCAAAGGTGGGGTTTCGTGTTTTGGCGAATGCCCTTGCCAAACATGATCGCAGAGCCTATATTTGGGCCAAATCGTGTTCGTCATGCGCTCAGACGGATCGAATAATGTACGATTTGTTCGGAAGAGGTTAATTTAGAGTGCTGACATCAGGTCAAGGTCAGGTCGGAGCCACTCAGGTCACGAAGCTGATCCAAGGAGGTCTTTTCTTCCAACCTTTTCGATTTGGTCGCCGTCTTCCCGAGTCCGTCGGTGGCTTCCCCGACTGACTCGCTAGCTCAAGTATCGACGGAAACCTCCGATGACCTTAGTGCCACCATCACGCCGTGGAAGTCCTGTCACCAGAATAATCGCAGTCAACTTTATCAACACAGTCTTCGCCGACTGCGTTTCGAGGCCAATAATGTAGAAACCAAGAAACTTGCAGTTTTTTACCCTTGACTTGACGTTGACTTGGCTGTGACCTTCTAAAGATTGTTTTGCTCCAAAGCGTTCGTCTTGTTGAAAGCGTTCGACTGCCGTTTTCCTCGTCTTTCTACGACCATTGGTTCGGAAGTTGGACAACCGGTGGGCGAAACTTGCCCACCCGAGCAGGGCGCATATGACTGAATACTGAATTGCCCAGCGGGGTGCGAATTAGCGCTCCGTTGAGGGGGCTGGAACGCCACCCTCCCCACCCTTTTATGTCAATATTTTCTGAAGCATTGCAGATATCGTCATCAAGCTATTGAGGACCAATCCGGGCGTCAATTTTACACCTTGAGGCCAAAAAGATTTTAAGGAGGTTTGATAGGTTGGCCACAAATGACATCAGAATGACGCCATGCTGTCATTTTAGACCCAAAAAAGTTTTGCGGGAAGAGCTGTTTCTGTTATGCCTGTTATGTTCGCAATAAACCTGGTGTCAAAATAGCCATTTTCACGACGGGCTATCTGGCGAATGCACAAAAACTGACTGACTAACCCGATCTCTGAGACAGAAAATACAGGGTGTCCCAAAAATAATGTCACACCTTTCCAGCGTCAATTGCATGAAAATAACAAGCATGAGATGTGCGCTTTTTCTTACATATGCATCCCACCTTCTCCCTGATACGGGTAAGCAATAAGCATGCTGTCCGAGACATCAGACATCAACATGTCCAGCTTCTGTGGACTGATCCTGGACCAGACAAATCGAACGTTCCTGGTCAGCGTGCATTCAGGTTGTCCTGGCACCATTTTGTTCACCTCTTGAAGGACGATCGCCCTAAGATTTTCGATCGGCGACAGGTCATGGCTATTCCCCGCCCATTTGTCCTCCCAGAATGCTGGGAAGTGCGACCTGGACCAGTCCTGTGTCGTTCTAGCTCGATGAGCCGCGGCGCCGACCTGTTGAAAGATGGCCCTGGACATGTTTAACAGAAGTTTTCGACTGGAGACGTGATTTGGTGGGGTTCAGCTTTATAGACAACCTCAGTTACCGATGGATTTTCGACTTGGAGACTGGATGACTGTTGGCAGTCAGCCTCCTTGCCAGTTTCCTTGTGGATTGGCCCATCTTTAGCACCGCGCTTCGCGATGACGATTTGCGCTACCCGGCTGGCGGAAGTCTTCCTGCCGCGACCTAGCTTGTTCTCAGGCATCTATCCGCTTCTGTCGCGTGACAATCAGCGCCAAATCGTGCAGGAGCTCATGCCCAGTGCCTCGGTGACCTGGCTGTGGGTCATGCCGCCGGCAACCATGCCGACTGCCCCGCTACGGGACGAGTTGCTCTGCAGTTTTGCCATCCTGGACACCTGGTCCGCGCGTGCTGGGTACTGCCCCGGAAATGACCTCCGTACACCCCTTGACCGGTCAGGCTCGTAATAATTCGAAGTCACGTGACTAGAATGTAGCAAATATGGTCTGGAAGCCAGTAGCGGTGAAATTATATTGATATTGCGCCATAGAAGGCAAAATAAAGGTTGTGGGAGGGTCTGACATTAATTTTGGGACACCCTGTATTGATATATTCACAATTCACATGAATTTATTTCA